ATCTATTTCTATTCATCTTATAACTTCAGGAAAACTTTTTGAAATTGCTTTTTTCTGCACCAAGTTATTTACAGGAGCAAGGCACTCCCTTATGCCTGATCAATTGTATTTTTATGCTCTGTAACCCCTCATTGCCTCCTGCTCTTACAGAGTAGAATTAGAACGAGTCTGGCTTTGTTACCTAAATTTAAAACCAAAAACAAACCAAACACCAAAACCCCAAACACCAAAATTTAATAAAATCTAATAAAAACCTAATTACACCATTCCAGGAGATTTAAAAACATTAAAAAAACCCCAAACCAATGCTACTAAGAAGTCAGTTATCAGCCTGAGATCAAGTGACCTGTTCTTGCATGCTCTCTAGCATGGCCCTTTACCTGTACTGCTGTGACCTCCTGCATGAGCTCAGACGCAAACTAATTTGTATATTGAGGTTTTTCATGAGTTTGATTACTTTCTTATCATCTACAGGGCACCAATTACAGTTTTGGGAAGGTGAAAAAAGACTACCTGGCATCATCTACCTGGCATTACTGAACCCTCAGTTCGCACTTTTCTGCAGAGAAGTGTTTTACCACTTTCAAACCTTGTTCTTCTCAAGCTTATTCTTCCCAGTGCAGATGTTAAAAAGGTTTCAGGGTAATATGAAACTTTAAAATATTTGGCCAACTACTAGGTAGTATAAATAATATAGACATGCTTATGAGACTGGGAGAATAGACATCTGTGTAAGGAGGTGATTTACTAACTCAAATGAGAAGGCCAAGCTATGGTAAAGAGAAGATTTTGATGAGGAACAGGAGCAGTTTGCATGCTTTTTCTGATGAAACAAGCGCCACCACCAATAGATCCCAGGCCTTTGCAATCACCAAAAATGATCTGCATGATTGCTAGCTTCACTGTGCATACAGCTCATTGTTGTACTGGCACACAAACACACACTGCCAGTATTGGTACTCACAGTTCCCAGCACGGATAATGGCCATATTGTAGCTAATGTCAAGTATGTGAATATAAAATTTCAGGAGTAAGTTCTTTTCCAAGGTTTTATAGTTTTCTTCTCAGCTTTCCCAGTTGAGATTAAAGTTTGTAGACTTTTGCTAAAGTAAAAGTAATTTTTAATTTTTTTTTTTTGCACAGTTTTCATTCCTGATATCATCAGATGAGTTCTGCTTGGCCAAATTCATATTTCTTAAGTAAACTGATTTCTTGAATATACCATAAAATACCATTTTTTCAACCACATTTTGGCTGAAAAGTACATCAATACACCATAAATCAGTTATCTCCTTGGTAAGCAAAATATGAAAATATGTGGTAGTACTAGTGTTAGTTCTTTTGCCCCATTATCTAAAGCGCTTCAAATATCGCATGTCCTAATTACAGTCTAGTCTTTTTAAAACAAATTGACAACTTTATGCATTTCCCATTTGTGGTGGGTTGACCCTCATTGGCAGTTAAGCCTCCACCCAGCCACTTGTTCACTCTCCACCTCTACATCTCCCCTCTGACATTTCAAACCAGTCTAAGTAGGCCTTAGAAAGGGTAACTTTTCCTATTTCTCATTATGATGTTGAGATAATGTTTGTATTACATGGGAATAGCTTTCATGGGTCTTGGCCCAAAATGTAGCAGGGAGTAAAGAGAGAGACTACTAGACTATGATTATGTTTTCAGTAGTCATTCCTCTCAAATAAAGAGTAATTGAATCTCAATCTGAAAATTCAGATTATTTATATTTTTCTTTTACTTTTTTTCTGGAGTCTTAGATTACTATAGCGCTTTACAAGTAACCTTTTTTGAGGGAGTAGGGATGCAAAATTTGCCAATAAGGTGTTAGCTTTATACTAATTCAGGAGGGATATTTTAATATTACACTTAAGACTGAAATTAATAAAATGATTGTTTCATCTTTTCTCACTGTCAAGTTCTCAGTCTCTACTACTAAAGAACAAAAAAAATCCATTTCCCCCTTATTAATAATTGCACAGAATGACAAATCTTGTGGTATCAGATGCTATGTGTGGCCATAAGACCGAAAAATATAAATACTTAATAGAATCTCATAAAAACCCCTTAGTTAACCATGTAAGGAAGATGTTTGGACATCACAAAGGCAGGCCAATATAAATAAGTAAAACTACCGTATCTGGGAACATAAAAAGAAGATGACAAATACAAACAGACCAATTTTCTTCTCACTTTCACAGCTCTCTAACTGAAAAGATGTTTTCTTGGTATATAGGAAAGTAGTGGACACAGCATTTTTAAAACTGTCCCCTTTGAAAATTTAACAATAAACAACGCTGAATAATACTGTATGTTTTAAATAGACTCAACCAAGTTGCTGAAGTAATATCTTACTGAGATGTCTGAAGTGTCAGAAGGAAAACAATTCCATTTTTAACTGCAAATCATTTTAACAGAGAAGCGCCTGACTTAAAAAAAAAAATCTAAAAAAAGAACATCTTGGGCCTGTACTGTGCATGCCATCTAATTTATTTCTGTGTCTTTTCCGAAAAAACAGTCACAGTAATATTAAATTAACTCCATTTTAAAAAAGTCCCAAATTGAAAGAGGAAATATTTTTATTCTATTTCACAAGTAAACATAGAAAATGCAGGTACTTTCTGCTTTCTTCTCTGCTTGGACCCTTGAAAATATTTAGTTCACTGCCAGAGGCATTGAAGCAAGTTTCTGTTGGTGGCAGCTTTTGTCCTAGTCCACTTGACACAGATTTAGGGTTGAAGGGAGAAGCTAACAGAAGAGAAGCCTGGGAAAGACTGCCAGACAGAGATAATTGCAAGCTCCGAACAGGAACCAGGAGTCAGAAGAGCCAAAGAATGAGGCCACCCACAACAGGGGTGAAGATAGCATAAGGATGATGCTGGCTCCTGATCTATAGAGTCAACATGTCACAGTCACAGGACAGTATCCACTGAACTGTGCCTGGTGATCTTCTTTTGCACAACCCCTTGCAAAATTTAGTTTAAATTGTAGGTTTTGTTGGGGGAATTTATCTGCTCTTTTTGTGTTATAGTTAAATTCTTCCTAATGGCACAAGATAGGAAGCTGTCGTGGGATCATCTAGTGAAGTAGCAATTTCACTCATATTCTTTTCATCTGTAAGATAAATCTTACCTGAAATTACTTGTATTTCACAGCAAAAGCAATTATGTATAGATTTTGATTTGTTTTTAATATTTACTGTAGCAAGGTAAGGGTTTTTTACTGCAAACAGTTGTGTCCTCATCTCTGTTTGGCTTTCATTCGAGCAGAAAATGTCATTCTTTGCTTTTTAATTAGGTTCACCCAAACAGTTCTTAGAAACCATTTTTGGTTTTAATAAACCCCCCCCCAAAACACATTGAGTTTAAAAAGCCTTTCTAGAAGACTGAATGGGAATTGGGGGCGGGGGGAGAAATCTGTAAACTCTAATTACACAGAATATTTCAAAATGAGCATCAAGAGATTTCTACCCTGTGAACAAAAATCTGTCTTCAGTTAGCAACAAATTTACCATTATCATTATGACAGTTCTTAGATGAGTTCACGGGTGCATTTTAAAAATCCCTGTGAGCAAAGCCAAGGTCTACTGCTGGTGCTGCTTCCCCTGTGCCTACGCAGCCATTAGCAACCTCAAAGATGCCACAGCAGCAGCCACAGCCAATGTGCAGGAGTTGAATTCACATCTCAAAGTAATAACTCAGTGAGGGATGATCAGAAGATGCTCACTCTGGGAACTATGGAAGAGTGGGACGTCTTCATCCCACACAAGAGACTAGGTCTCAGAAAATTCAAATTTTCCTTTTGAAATTGTTGTTAGTGCAGTTGCTCACAGAAGAGAACAGTTTGGTCTGAAGCACAAAATGCTGCAATAGATTTTTGGTGAAGACTGCAATGGGAGAGCATTCCCACAGAAGAAATGGTCAATGGTCTGCCTACAAGCAATATCCAGGACTTTGTCAAAGGATAGCAAAATCGAAATAAAAGAATTGCAATATTATCTTTTGGTTCACACTTTCACTATTACGAAGCCCAGTCAGTATATAAAGTGACATGAACCTCAGCAAAGAAACACATGGTCCACCCATAGTGAAGCAGGATATTAAACATGCAGCACTTAACTTTTACTATCAATACAATGTGTTTAAATATTTTTATACTTGCTGATGTGTACGTTTAAACTCCAGGAATAAGGGAAAAAACCCATCTTATTGTCTTCATGCCATAATATACTCACTTATTCACTTATTTTGTTCATAGCTGAACCATGGAGATAATAACTTCAAGACAGAAGCTATGTAAGCTCTGGGATTTCTAGCTCTATCTGTTTGTGATAATGATTGACGTGAATTTTACTTTCCACGTCATTGTTCTTATTCACTAGAACAGTAGCTGAAAACCATTTATGCCAGCTATCTGGCATCATTGCTCCTAACTTCGATTATTACCTTCTAGAGAGATATTTAGAAAGCTCTAACAAAACTCTGTCATTGCAGTGAAGTTAACTTTAAGTCAGTATTGTTTTTCTTCTCCTAAAGCAGTCAATTGCTTATGAAAATATCAGAAATATCTTTCACATTTGGTGTAAAAATGAAAAGAATAGTTTCCTTTTATAATAAAATTATATTCACAATGAAAATTATTATTATAAGTAATATCTTTAAATATGATCTTAAATATAAAATTATTCTCAGTGGAACTGACAAGCATCAAATCTTTCCCTTGATATTACCAATTTGAATGTAAACATCAGCCTAACTGAAAAATTATGACCATTCTCTGTTTGTGCAAGTAATTTAACTGAATTTTCTGTCATAAAGATTATTTGGTTTAACTTCTCTCTTTTTTTTTTTTTTTTAATAACACACTTGTATGTCAGTAAAGCAACTGAAATTCTATTTAATAAATGTTAAATGGGTGAGTTTTCACAGATCCATAAATGGGAGATTCTAAACAAGTATATTGCATCTTTATGGCTGAGTCGTACTTACATGGTTTGGAAAGTCAGCCTTCAGTTCAGCAATACTTTTACACCAATATGCTGCTGTTTTCTCACTGATCAGTTCAATGTTCAGAAAGGAGCCCTGGCCTGGGCCATACGTAGGACCTGAAGTAATTCCACGCACAATCCTCGGAGAAACGTTGGTTACAATATCCTGCAAAACAGTAAAACCTTTCAGATTGACTTTCTAAAGTGAGGCATGTATCAATGACATCTATGACACAATATAAACTTAAACTTATCAGGTGTTTATAAAATGTACTGTTATTATGAGTAAAAACTACAATTATAGGTCAGTTCTCTACATTAGCAGATTTTTCTAATTAGATTCTTTACTTCGGAAGAAAAAAAAATGTTTGCCATGTGGGTGAAATCATATGATAACTATCAAGAAAATGGCATTATGGGGCACATAAAAACAGCCATACAAAATATAATTTAAACAATGCTTTTGTGTTTGGTAGAGGGCATACAAGACTTTACCTGTGTAGGCCTCAGTCATGTAATAGCATACATGTGAACTATCTTCCCCAAAGATGATCAAAGTCCATGTCCTACACTAACAGGTGAAGTGCAAAGAGGTGCTGCCTGCCAGCCTCTCCGATGAAAAGTCAGGGTCACAGGTCCAGTCACCAGCAAAAGTATATCAGTGTAACTTCACAAATTAAATTTTATGATTAAGAGAGATCAAGATAAAAAAATAAAACAAAAAATACTGAAAATTAAGATCAATATTGTAAAGCACAACATTTCTGAAGGTCAACATGAGGTTAGTAAACAATTTTGAAACGTGCAGTAAACACATAAAATGTTGGCTTGTTTAGTAGTCTTAAATAAGCTACAATGTCACTGTATCTACATTTACAAAGAACTGTAAAGTCTGACGTTATTTAAAACTAAAAAGAAACATAGATGGCAAAATGTTTCTTTTGCCAATTTCCAATTAAAAATAATTTTGAGTAAAGGTCATTTATTTACAAATGTATCAGAATTATTTGTTTAAGTACCCCTCCTCACCATCTTGTCATTTTTAGTGAGATAACATGAACCTCCATTAGTATATAGCAATTAAGGTCAATTTACATATTTTAATTAAGAATCATCCCATATAAAACAATTAGGGTAATAGGCATACTAACTGGATTTCATAACATTTGGACGTTTTTCCAACTAGATAGACAGGAAACCTTAATTAGCATTAATTAGCACTGATCTGCATATGTTTGATAAGGCATACCCTTGCCACAAAAGATTATTTATTCCTGAATCTGCCAAATGCTGCAGTTACAGAGGATAAAGGGACTTTTCTTCATATTGTATGTAAATTTGAGGTAATCTTCATTTGCTTATAAAGTTGAATTACTTATTATACAGTAAATATGCACTAATATTTTATACTGATACATAACTATATGTCAATTTACATATGTAGAAATCATACAAAGTAATCTCCGCAGTTTGTTTATTTTCAGGCTCGAGGAGTCTGGAACACGGACATCACAGTAATCTCTAATTTTCCTATTACAATATTTTCCCTTTATCGCAAAAGCTTCACCTTCCTCTCAACAGTTAAGTTATATTTTCAGAAAAAAATAATTCAGAACATTTTCTGAACTTACACAAACTAAAACCAATCAGCAAAATACATTCTCCTCACTCTCAAAACAAATTACAAAAATCACAGTTTATGCCCCATTTACATCAGTTTGTTCCACATTATCCTCTTGAGCATTTTACTCCTTTCAAATTGCCTCAGAGGAGCTTGTGCTTTGACTTAATCCAGAAATCTATTCATATATACAGGCCAGTACTATCACATCATCCAGCGTGATAAAATATGCAAAGTCACTGACCTAAACGCTGGCAGTATGACCTTACACCTGCGAGCACAGGGTACATGTGGTCATTTGCCGACAGATACAACTTTGACCATGCTGCAAGCTACCATGAGCTGCCTTTCCACATGCTCCAAACCAGTCAGACGCTGTGTAGCTACAGTGGTATGGCAGTAAGCCTGAGCTAACAGCCTGTCTGTTGGTGGGAATTATTATTATTGGGTTCAGTGCAAATTATTAAGACGCACATGGTATGAGTTTCTTTTTGTGGCTGGCTTGTGTATGGGTATATGCCAGGCAATGCTTGGAGCCACCTACGGTACTGTTTGTTATGTGCATGTTTTGTTGTTCTTCCAATCTCTCTCATTTTACTACAGGTAAGAACTAAGATATTACAACTTAGATTATACCTCTTGCAGGACACTCACAAAGCCTCAGCGTGCTTCCATGTGAAAACGTTCTGAAGTTTTTGTATCTGCTTTGGGTCTCCAGGCAATCTCCTCTTTTCTAAGAACAGAGACCCTGCTCCTGCTGCCAAATTCCCATGGCTACGACTCACTCTTTCCCAGAGCTCAGTAATAGCTGACATCTGAGTGACAATTTATCTCTCCAGGATCCCATGAAGTTGAATCAGGTAATGCACAGATTTTGCAAACAGTTTCAAAAGCAGCCACTCTTCACTTTAAGAGCCACATGAAACAGTAAACACATGTACATATCTCTGCCTGTGTTTCCTCACTCTTGAATTTTCCTTGAGATTTTGTGAGATTCCCTTTGGTGCTCAGGGACCTTCCCCTGCCAGCACACAGCTGCTCCTTCGAATGGTGGCTTCCGCTGCCTCCCTACTGCCTCTCTGTCACAGCACCCCTCTGCCTGTATTCATGCATCACTTTCCTGACCAAGGACTCCAAAGTCCTTTCCAGCTTTGAAATCCAAACCTTATCACCTGGCTGCTTTGTCTTGGTTCCTCCTGAGAGGGATACACTGATCTTATTTAAGATCCCATTCCTCATTTGCCTCTCCTAGCTCAGTGAGCTAGATGGAGAGAGTCTTTAATGACTGACACATTGGCACCTCTCCTGTCTCTTGTTAGCACATGACAGCCCCAGACACAAGGAGACTCACAGTTCATGGAAACAAAATGGAATTTATAACTTATGTGATGATTCAAGGAACCTATGTACATAGACAATAAAATCACACAAGCGAAAGAAACAAAAATTGTCTGAGATGAGTGTGAAATACCCACACAGAACTTGCCTTACCATCATCTTCCTCTTTAGTCTCCTGCGACAGCTACAAAAGTTTAACAGGGAGAGAGTCAGGCAAAGGATCTATTGGCTAGGCTTAGCCAACTTTATGTCCTTTAGTCTTAGGAGTGAATTTTACACGGTATCACAGATTCTTTCACTAAGATGGGCAATTCTGGTGACTTTTGCCTTTTTGTAGCAACTGTGTGCCCAAATGCTGGCACTTATAATTCCTTTTCTTTTCTGAAACTTCAGTTTTTCTTTTTATCCCAGCTATGCACACATCCTTTTCATTGCTAAATAAAAATTGTTGTGTGCATAAAAAGCTACAATAGAACTGGAGCAAGAAGCCTGACTGGAAGCACTTAAATGTTTGAACCTAAAAACTTTTTTGATTCTAAGAAAAGCTGATTGCTACAGAGAGATGACCTGACTGATGAGTTGGTCTGGACCCCACATGCAGTTGAAAGTAGAGATCCGCATAAAGGAATAGGAGAATGTCCCAAAACTCCAAAACGAATCAAGTATCTTACCATCCTCATGTGATGGAAGCAATAAACAGTCCTTGGGAAAAATAGCAAAAAGCTTTCATGTACTCTGAAGACCAAGGATAGAAGATTTTTAATAAAAGAGCAGCTAGGGGAGAACAAAGCTTGTATCTGACCATAGTAAAAGACAAAGCTATGAGGAAAACCAACTAAAAAAGAATCACTGACAAGGGTAAACAGAATAGTTCATAGAAAATTAATTTGTTTTGTGGGGAAATCTTGCAAATTAATGTAGACTTAGGGATTAGTGAAACTGTATTCAGTACTAGATTACAGCAAAACAGCTTCATTTGGGGGAGTTAATGCAAACGAAGAGAAACAGTGACAACAAACAGAATCAAGGGCCAACAGTTAATCATGAATATTTCAGTTACTGAATTTCTTCTTTTGCCTCAAAAGCTGACTCTTTTCCCCAGGAGACCACAGCAGAAACAATGGTATCAACCCCTCAAATATATCTAGTTCAGGACATCATCTAAGAAAGTGGTGTTATACAGATAAAAGCACCAATATCCTGCTGCTTTTAGGTTCCCCTTTTCTGCTTATGAACACTTCTGGTATTCTGTAACTTGAGACTGAGTTAATTTGCACTACAAATATATTTCTGTTCCTGTTGATTAATTACTTAACACACTAAAAAAAAAAAAGGCAACAGACTCAAGGCCTTGTTCAGGCCCCATTAACAATCTCTGAACTCTTCAATCAGATCATTGAATTCTAAACTACTAAGTCTAATGGGCTGTGAGGTTTGAGACAACATCTTAAAGCCCAAACACTCAAACACATTTTAGTCAGTTGAATTTAAATAAAGGTGTAAACCAATTCATCAGCTCAGGCCTTACTTTTCACTCTAGAAGTTGTTTTGCTTCACATTGTCCACATTTTCAGTTAATAATTGGCAGAGATTTTTGTAGTGTAAAAACACAACCATGCTGTTTAAGCTTAGAGAGAGAGACCTTTACGTCTGGGCAGCGGGGACATTTTGAATTTTAAGGGACCCAAAGGGTTGTCCAGCACAGTGTTAGATTATGTGATAAGCACATTCATTGTGTGTTTCTCCTAAACTAAGCAGCAGAGAAATAATTCGCATGGTGAATATTAACGTTGTCATTTGTAGGTGTGGAAGTTAATGACCCGTAGAAATGAATCAAGCCATTCACCTCTCTCTCAGAGTTACTGTTTCAGTGGAATCAAGAAGACAGCTCTTCATTAACTGGGTTCACATTTTTATTTCATAATCATGTCTCCGAGAAACTAAAAAAAACAAACTTTACACAACATTTTTCTGCAAACAAGTCAGTTGCAGGAATATATAAAAACAGTCTCCCAAAAGGTATACGAGAGCCTTACGACTATTCAATTAATGTATTTATATTACGCAAATATAATATAAATAACCAAAAGGATAAATCTGTATGATTTTTCATATCAAAGTTCTGATGTGTTTCTATTGATTTGCAGAGCTTGAAGCATTCTTTTTTGCCCATTTTTCCCTAAATATTGCAGCTAATTGTATTTTAA